CTCTGCATTTTTTTTTTTTTGAGTTATTGCCCTTTGTTAATTTTCATACTTAATTTTTTGTCCGGGCCATTTCTCCTAAAGTATAAAAGGCTATGGACTTGAAACTTCATAGGATGATAGATCTCATTAAGAAGAAGTGCAACTCACAAGAACCAGTACTCTTCATTTCTTATTTTTTGAGTTATTGCCCCATGTAAATTTTTATACTTTATTTTTGTCCAGGACATTTCTCCTAAAGTATAAAAGCTATGGACATGAAACTTCATAGGATGATAGATCTCATTAAGAAGAAGTGCAGTGCACAAAAACCGGTACTCTGCATTTCTTTTTTTGAGTTATTGCCCTAGCTATGTTAATTTTCATACATTATATATGTCCAGGCCATTTCACCTTTAGAAAGTATAAAAGCATGGTCTTTAAACTTCATAGGATGATAGATCTCATTCAGAAAAAGTGCAGTGTACAAGAACTGGTACTCTGCGCTTCTTATTTTTGAGTTATTACCCTTTATTAATTTTCATACTTGATTTTTGTCTAGGCCATTTCTCATAAATTATAAAAGCTATAGACTTGAAACTTCATAGGATGATAGATCTTATTGATAAGAAGTGCAGTGCACAGAAACTGCTGCTCAGCACTTCTTATTTTTTGAGTTGTTGCCCTTTGTTAATTTTTATATTTCATTTTTTGTCCTGGCCATTTCTTCTAAACTATTATAATTGTTCACAAGGCGACACATCCGAATCGTGGAGTTCTAGTTTCAGTATTTATTAACTTTCAACTATGTACCTTAACCTTATAATCTTTTATGTCAAGCATCATAAGACAGTAAATGTGACATTAAGTCACTAAGAAAAGTTAAAATAAGAGATGTACATAAGATATACATATAAAATAACAGTGGGAGACTAAAGGGTTTGTTAAAAGTATAAGCAATCCAGCAATCTGTTGCAGTGAGATATTATGTTCAATAAAACACTGCCATATTGAACTCATTCATAGATTAAGTGTGGGCAATGAAACAATATTAGTGGGCAGGCTGTTCCAGTGATTTAGTCTATTCTTGGAATTAATGAGAATTTGAAGTAGTCTGTCTGGGATAGGATTAAACTATAGCTCAACATGTTGGCATGTAGAGAGGTTGAGACTCCCTAATTGGGTAACTGATAACCTTTGAGAATGACCTGTGTGTGTGACACAACCTGTACGAAATTTTCTGCACGGAAATGGGGCGGAATTCAAAGGCAGATTCCGCCCAGAAATTTAAATTCTCCCCCGGATATATAAGTGTTAAACCATTTGCTTTTGGCACGGATTCCAGGCGGAAATGGAACGGATTCTGGGCGGAATTGGGACGAAATATGCAAATGAGTTGGGGCGGAATTTTGAAGCGGAAACTTGGGGCGGAATCTTGGGGCGGAACCTTGAGGCGGAATTTCGGAGCGGAATTGTCAAACAAGATTCTGGGCGGAATTCTGGGACAGAATTCAGCAGGGGGCGAAATTTTATGAGTTTAACATGATCACATATTTTGGGATAAAATCAATAGTGCATCACATTAAATTTTCTTTCACAAAATTTAATAAAAAAAATATCATATCCTTTAGTCCAAATACAGAATAGAATACCCTACATTCACTATAACACAAACAGTTTTTTTCTAGCTGCAGGTTTTGGAATCTTAGAATCCAACACTTTGTGTTGTTTTTTTTGCAATTATTTTGCTAGAAGTGTTTCAATCATAAATTTGTTTCTAATGTTTCTGATTATTTAAATTACTATTTCTTTAATCCATGTCTGTTTTAAGTCCACTGCCTGTGTTTCCTAGAACTTCTTGTGGTTGTGCTCACCTTTAATAATAAAATTCATAATTAATTAAACAAATATTTTGTAATGAATTGAACCGTGTCATGACAAAACCAACATAATGGGTTTGCGACCAGCATGGATCCAGACCAGCCTGCGCATCCGCGCGGTTTCATCAGGATCCATGCTGTTCGCTTACAATCCCTATTTCAAGTAGAGAAACTGATAGCGAACAGCATGGATCCTGATGAAACCGCGCGGATGCGGGATGAGCCCCCTTGTGTTTGGGGGGGTTTGAAGGGGGGCGGAGTCCCCCTCATCGCCAAGAAAATTTTGGACTTGTGAGAGGCTGTAAATGACCCCAGATTGATCATAAGGTAACATGTAACCAACGTTGAAAAGCATTTGACTCTATCTCAATCCATTGAAAAGTTACAGCACTTTGAAATCAATTTTGATGGAAAAAATCAACGCAAAATAGTGATTTTTGGCAATTTTGAGATGTCCCCTCGTTGCCATGGTAACAGAAAATTTAAGCCTGATCATGTTGTTGCAAGGGCAATGGTCCAGTCAACATTTGTGCCAAGTTTGATTAGTGTTGAAGCAGTTTTTGTAGTATTATAGCAATTTGAACTTGTAACGGGAGACTTTTCAATGAAAACAGCCATTTTTCACAAAATGCTCATGAAGCAATGGGTAAAACACCTGGCATCTCACAGTCAGCACTTAAGTCCCTGAGCAGCCTGCAAATTATGAGTGTAAAATGTAATTTTAGATTGTTCCATAGGAAAGACAACACAAACATGTAAAATAATAAATGATTATGATGACCCTGTTCAACTGTACAAAACTACTGATTGTACCATTTAGTCCTATTTAATCAAATTTATTTAATTTGTTTAATTTCCAGGAAATGAAAAAGATATACTTACATGCTATTTATACAGTATACTCTGAGACTACACAATCATTATATTTTAAACAAAAAAATCATTGAATAAATTTTAACTTGCAAATAATACATGTATTAAATATTTAAAACAATTATCAGAAAAAAAAAACAAATGTATGAAGTTGACATTACTAAAACAACAATCTGACCTCTTGTTACAAATTTTAGTTGGCTTCTTAGTATTCACTCAGACAGTCGTCATATAAATTTAATGTAACTAAAAGTTAATAATTACCTGATTATGTTATACATCTCCTTGTCCCATGTTATCATACCAATTACTTTAACACTTTGAGATCTTAAACAAAACTTTACTCCAAAATTGTTAAAATATCAAGTACATCCTCTGTAATTTGCACTCTTTTTGCTGACCCAGATATCTTAGAATTCAAAATTCACAACAGTTTACTGTATAACGGACCGGTCCATCATTATGTAAAACAGGGTTATTTTACTCATCATCTATATATTATTATTGCATATCAGTCAATATGAGGAAGATATATTCAGCGCAAAGTGACTCTACCATCTAGGTTGCACTGGATGTGCATCCAAAGTCAAATTTGATCCAACATGCAGATTTTCTTTGGACGGTTAGTGAGATTCTATAACATGATAAATTTGAGTTTGACTATGAGTAAGGGGACCAGAATTCATTCACAGTGGCTATTCCATGGCCTTAGTTAAGGGATTCTGAGTATAGCCATATATTACCGGGTAAGAAGCTCGTGGTTTGGTTTGCTTTTTTGGTTGACCTGTTTATGTGCTTATACCATGTGAGATCATTTGATATATATTTGAGTCAATTTGACCGAATTGTTACCAGTCCTCTAGAATAGTTCCAAGACTTAGAGAATAAAGTAGTTGGTATCGAATGTTTCCTTCTTATGATATGGATTACTTGATATTTGAATCATTCAGGGTTGAACTCTTGTTCAATCCAACACCCACTTTTCTGAGGTATTTAAATCTTTTTCAAGAGTTTCAGGTTAGGGTAATTTAGTATCCTTAAGTACCATCCTAGTAGTATCATCAGCAAATAGACCGACTTTTGAAAGTGACATACATAGGGTCCTATCAAGTATATGAAATTATTTTTACTAATGGTTTATTTGTCAATATTTACGGATTTACATAATTTAGTATGTGACATTATTATCCCAAAGGACCGAAGATGACAAAGATATTTTAGCAGTTCGTGCTTACTTTATATAAATTTTTGACAACAACAACAACAACAAAAATGTTGCGACTGAAGTTTAAGCCGATTTCATGGTCTAGAGTCGTTTACAAAATAAGAAAATCCGTTACAGAAAAGACATATAGTACAATAGCGGTACTCACATTTGCTTTTTAGATACTTTTCTTTATCTAGTTCTTTACTTTCACGGTTTTCATATTAAGTCTAGTAATCGGATAGTTACGGTATCTGGACGTTTCACCCTCAAAACCCTGGTCTTTTCGGTACCTTATTTAAATTTGATAGATGTAAAGTAAATACAATTATGAGTTATAATATTATATATAACTCATAATTGCAAAGACATTATATTTATGTTATAAAGAAGATTTTTTTTGTCTCAAGGTGATTCCGCTTTGTCAGCCATGTTTGTTTTCACTAAGTGGGTCCAAAGTGAAAGTAGGCCAAAATTCATATAACAACAAAGCTCACAATGAAGAATGATGAACCATTTGAAAGTACACTTCCATGTCTAATATTGTTGTAATTCCGCTTTGTCAGCCATGTTTGTTTTTTTTTTTTTTGTCCAAAGTGAAAGTAGGCCAAAATTCATATAACAACAAAGCTCACAATGTAAAATGATGAACCATTTGAAAGTACACTGCCAGGTCTATGTTTTAACCCTTTCCCACATGAGCATATTGTGAAAAATGGCCATTTTCAGTGAAAAGCCTCCTGTTACAAGTTCAAACTGCTATGAAACTATGAAAAATGCTTCAATACTAATCAAACTTGGCACAAATGTTGACTGGACCATTGCCTTTGTAAGGACATGCTCAGTCTTAAATTTCCTGTTAACCGTGGCAACGAGGGGATATCTCAAAATTGCCAAAAATCACTATTTTGCCTCGATTTTTTCAAAATTTATTTCAAAGTGCTGCAACTTCTCAAGGGATTGAGATAGAGTCAAAGGCTTTTCAACGTTGGTTACACATTACCTGGGGTCATTTTCAGCCTCTCACAAGTCCAAAATTTTCTTGGCGATGAGGGGGACTCCGCCCCCTTCAAACCCCCCAAACAGAAGGGGGCACATCCCCCTTCTGGCAACCCCCTGATGTATCTTCTGGATGGGGGGGGGGGGCGGCACCGAAAAAGTGCTCACTTTTTTTAGCAACATTTCTCAAACGAAAACGTGTTTTGGGCCCAAATAGGACATTTTTTCACTATTTCAGGCCTAAAAAGGGGGGGGGGGTAGAAAGTGCGTTGTTTCGCGTATATATGAGGTAAAGGGTTAATGACTATTATAAACAAAAATAAAAATGATAACAATAAGAATATTTACCTTGAATTTCTGAAGACCAAGTACAATTTGTGCACATTTCATGAATGGCAAAATCGCCTTAAATACAAATATCCTGGCTTCTTATGTTTTATACATGTGAAATTTTTCAATGTTCAAGAGGAAGAATTAGCTTCAAAAAGAGGGAGATTTTTTAATGGATAATAGACGTAGAAGGAATATTGAAATGAAAAAGAGGGATTTCAGATTCTTATTTTTTTAAAAACACCCCTTATTCTAAGAACAAATTCAATATTTAAAAATTTTACAGGAGAAAGAGGGAGTCTCTCGCTTAAATAGGGAGAGTTCACATGTATGAATACAGTACATTATTGGAAACTTCCCAGTGAAAATAATTATTAATGGTGGGATAGTTTATATCATGGAGCTATATGTCTGTGTTTATATGTGATAGAATTACTGGCTATATATATCTACATGTATATTTGCATAAATATATTTTTATTATCAAATTTTAAAATAGCTCATTTAAATTATAAAAGGATATTGTTTATAATATTTTGTTATATATAAGAACAGATTATTTTTTAAAAAACACCCCTTATTCTTTATCTATATATATTTATTAGTACCAGTCAGGGCTACAGATAACATTTTGTATATATTGGGTGATTACCCCTTGTTTTGTGATTTATTGGGTTTTTAGCTCGACTTTTCTATGAAAAGGGGAGCTATCCTTCTCGCCCCGGCGTCGGCGTTGGCGTCACACCTTGGTTAAGTTTTTCGTACCACCCCACTTTATTTCAGAAGTATTACAAGTATGGCTTTGAAACTTACCATACTTGTTCACCATCATAACCTCCATCTACAGACAAGAGTACATAACTCTGTCAAGGTTTTTGACAGAATTATGGCCCTTTTTTGACTTAGAAAGTGTATTGAGCTTGGTTAAGTTTTTTGTACCACCTCACTTTATTTCAAAACCATTGGAGGTATTGCTTTGAAACTGACCATACTTGTTTACCATCACGACCTTCATCAACAGACAAGAGGACATAACTCTGTCAAGGTTTTTGACAGAATTATGCCCTTTTTGACTTAGAAAATACATTGAATATGGGTAAAATCCACTTATTGCCTTAACCCTTTGAGATATTGCTTTGAAACTTTTAATGCTATTTCACATCATTACCCCATCTGTACGCAAGAGAAGGTAACTCTGTCAAGGATTTGTTTTAAAAATTAAGGCCTTTTATCGACTTAGAATCTTGGTTAAGTTTTTAGTACCAGTCCACTTTTTGACTGAACTGTTTGAGATATTAATTTGAAAGTTGGAATACTTGTTTACAATCATGATTCCCAAACATGTCCAGGAGAAGGTAATTCTGTCAAAGATTTTATTTGAATTATGGCCCTTAACTGTCAATGTTTTGTATTATAGGCAAGCACTAAAAAAGTCGAGCGCGCTGTCTTACGGACAGCTCTTGTTTCTATTTTCTTAGAGTTATTTCTGTATTTTTTACCCTACCCTCTCTAACCAATTTGGGTTTTAAAGCACAAGTTCATGTATTCTACCCAAAATTTCTGACCTTCATTGTAGACTGTTGTAGGTTTTGTATGGTAATAAAAAGCTACTAGCTACTTTGCTTTATGGTTTATTGACCTAGGAGATTTCCAAGCTGCCTGATATAATTTAAAGGTTAAAACAGTCTGAACAGATCTGCCTGATGTACAGCGTTAAGTATAATTTACGTCATTACGCACCAGTTCCAATGTAGTTTGCATAAATAAGAATTTATTTACTTTTTCTTACCCTTAGTTATTATTTCTATTGCGTTTTTTTTGACATTTTAATTGGGTAATTACCTAAATACCCATGTTATCTGCAGCCCTGGCACCTTTATAAAGGTGTTACTCATACTCTTTAGCAAGTAGTGAAAATTTGTTGAGGAATGTATCCAGAAGGACTGGGAACGATATGCCAATGGTGAAATTGACAGTGCTATGAAAGTCTTACATTAGAGCTGTCATTGATTCAGTGCAAAGCATATCAACGATATATCGATATCAAGTGACTAAAATCAACGATACACCGATATATCGATAATATCTTATACTCACTTGTCTGTCATTCACTTTCATACCTGTTTCAATGATTTCAGTCAAAAACATGTTCTGTACAGTGTCTTGTCCACTGCATGATTTTTTCCAGACAATATTTTTTATCACCATTGCTATGAAATAATTCCACTATATAACAAAAGCATAACATTAGATATAAATAATTGTTTCTGCATATATTTTGGGTGAATTGTATAATTTCTAGACATTTAATTTATAAGTCAAAAGTATCGATTTTTTTAAATGTGTATCGATTATTGATCGACAAAAAAATATCAACGATACATCGATATTGTCGATATCGATGACAGCTCTATCTTACATACTATTTAACATTTGTATGGAACTGCTGAGTATTCCATTTAAACTATTAATAAAAATCTATTAAAATAAAAAATCATACATTTTTGGCATATTTGGCATTTTTTATTACAACAAAAATGTCATATTTTAATATTAGTAATTACAAAATTATGACTCAAATATGTTTTCAAAAAAATGGCTGTTTTCATTGAAAAGCCTCCTGTTACAAGTTCAAACTGAAACTGTATAAAAATACTTCAATACTGATCAAACTTGGCACAAATGTTGACTGGATCATAGCCTGCTCAATCTTAAATTTCCTGTTACCATGGCAACTGGGGGACATTTCAAAATTGCCAAAAATCATATTTTTGCATTGATTTTTTCATCAAAAGTGATCTCAAAGTGCTGCAACTTCTCAATGGATTGAGATATAGTCAAAAGCTTTTCAGCGTTGGTTACGTTAAGATTGACCTTAGCCATTTTTTAGCCTCTCACAAGTTCAAAATTTTCTTGGTGATGAGGGGGCTGCTGACCCCCTTCAGTAAATTTGATACTTTTATTTCCGATATATGACCACAAGCCAATACACAAATACAGAATATACATTCAAATGATACATTAAAATGTTATGAAAATATTTTCTTTTTTAGTTAAATCGAGTTGATGTCAGTAAGTTACATGGACGAGTTGAGTTGCGTGTACCTTCTATCAGCTGTCTGGACAAATGTAGGAGATATTTTTCCTCTGATGTACTGTAAGTACTTTGAAGTATATTGTTCAGAATGAATAGTCTTATATGATGCAGGTTTTAAATTCTTTATATATTCAAAAATGAGTTGTTAAGTTGAAAAGATCTGGATATTATTTTACAGAAATTAATCAAATGATTCTTGGGTGATCATCTACCAACATTGTTCAAATGATAAAAAGAAAAGAAGAAAAAAAGATGGGGAGGCATATAGTTTTTGAATATCCATCCTTCCATCATTCCGCCTTTTGTGTTTAGTCCATTGTCAATTATGGATGGATGTTTTAATAATTTTACATACATGTGGAGTACATTTAGACAATGTAATGTGCTAAAGATCCAGGTCTCTAGCTCAAAGGTTAAGGTTATACTTTTAACATCATAGGAAATATTTCATATAAGTTCATTGATGTTCATGTCCAGTTACCAAATTTGTCATTTGTTTGAAAAATTCTATGCATTAATATGTTGGACATGATGAGTATGTACCATGCATAAGAATTAGATCTCTAACTCTTAGGTCAAGATCACAATTATATGTCAAAAGTCATAATAGTAATGGAAATAAGTAATAAAGGTACACTGATGGTCGTACTCTGTAAACCCCCATCCCCCTCCCAACCCCATCCCCAAGCTCAATGAAAGTTATATACATTTTGCATGACCCATAATACTGGAGTGGAATTTGAAGAAAATATGTAAGTCCTTTGTGAAATTTATTGAATGGAAATCTTTCATACAAAATATCTCTGAGAGTTTCAATGTTTTAGTAAATTTGATATCATTTACTAAGAAGTTCATCAATTTTAAGCAAGTTAATTTCTTCACATTTACTTAAAATCAAGTTTTACAAATCTGATTTATTTCATTACACAAGACTAGATCAGCAAGGCTATACCCTTCATTTATTTCAATATATTATTACAGTTACTACATTATTTTCAGGTTAAGTGAATCAGAGTATGAAGTATTAGCAGATGAGACTCTTGACTCACTAACTGAAATGTTTGAAGATTTACCTGACAAGTTTGAATTGGATCCAGATTATGATGTAACTTTCAATGTAAGTACAAATGTATTTTGAATTTGTCCTAGACTTTCTTAAATTGTTTTATTACCTGATACCTTATATAAATGTAATTTGGTATTTTTTACTGTTTTCTGAAATTCTAAAGCAAACTGGTGACAGGTCAATAGTTTTGACGTCATAAAGGATTCCACCTTGAAGCATACATCGATCTTGATCATAAACCAGATGTGACGTGACATAGTTAAAAGATTGATAATTGAGAAATTTTAATTATAAACATATTTGCAAAACTATTTTCTTGTTCCTTTTTTCTGCTGCAAGTACTGTTAAAACATTAATTGATCAGGTAATAAAACAGTTAGTTCATTTGTGATTTGGGAACAGTCAAAAAGTTGTCCCTCAGTGTCAGGGAAAGTGTTTTGAACTGTTGAACAGTTAAAAAACTATCCCTTCCACCTCGGGCCAACAGTTTGACTGTTCCCAAATCACATATGAAATAACTGTATACTGTTAAATTTGGCGTAAACCCCCCCCCCCCCCCCCTCAAGAAAAATAGGTAATCATTAAACAGGCTTTGCAGATGGTCCTGAACGACAATCAGTAAATTATATTTCAAACCTTTCAGGTTAATAATTTTTTTCTCCATCAATACACTAGGACAGTGTGTCATATTCAATGATACTGCGTAAAGGAATTTAATGAAAATTTCATAATTTATTAGTAATGAAATAATATGTATGATTACATTCTTACTTGTATATATAAATATGTATGTGTTTTTGCTTTCAGAGTGGTGTTTTAACAGTGAAAATAGGCGGTAACTGGGGAACATATGTTATCAACAAACAGACTCCAAACAAACAGATATGGTTCTCTTCTCCTATTAGGTCATCATTCTATAACTTTCTTCCATTTTGGTTTTAGTTTTTCAAAGAATAATTTCTAGCTCTTGTTACAGGCAGATTATCATTCCTGTTGCCCTCCAGAAACTTTAACATCAGCCATTATCTTTTATTTCTTAATGGAATGTCTTAATACTTTGATACAACAACTCTTTGGACAAGATCTTCAAGTAGTCCAGATTGAACTTGACCTTGATCTATAAATAACCTTGAAGGTCAAATTATTGTACATGTAATCGACCAAGTTATTACATAAATTAGCTATAACTTTGTACTTGATGCATGAATTGTCTTCATACTTGTGTCAACAGTCCTGAGGACAAAACAGTAAAGAAGATTTAATTAACTATAATTGGCTATAACTTTGTTTTCTTTGAATGGATGGTCTCCACAGGAAGATACAAAAATCCTTTTTACAAGACCTTCAAGTAGACCAAATAGATTATGACCTTTACTCATCAATGACCTTAAAGGTCAAGCTACTGAATTTTGACTTGACGATTATTATCACCAGAGTGATTACACAATGATCAGGGATAGAGAAGCTATGTGAATCGGCGCTATTTACGTCCGGACGGTCTCTGTACCGTAATCCTCGTGATGCGGGTCCGTCTGTCCAGTCCTGTTCCGTCTTCCGGAAACTTAATTGTGCGCTTTAAATGACCATACTCCAATCATATAACGCACATAGAAGCAATAATATGCATCCAGAAGCGTTCACAGAAATTTCCTTCTGTGTCACGCGTGTAAGTGATGATTGGCTCCAAAGAAGTTAATTCACATGCAGTAAACTTACTGGTGGTTCTCATCTTACGATATCCAAGAACCGACAAAACTTTAAATTATTCTAATCTATATTTAAAAAAACCATAATGAGGCTAAGAAGCGATACGAGTTAAATTGCAATGACAATACTTCTATGTGTAGTAAGCTCTTGCATGTCAACGAGGAGTTATGCCTGTTACAAGCCAAGATACAAAGAAGCACTAACAGCATGGGACGCGTCCAGAGATAAAATCTAAGCCATCGCGCCATCGAATATGAGTAGAAGGTCATTGATTTTCCCTAAGTTACAAATCACCGCAGGTAAATCAAAAGTCGCATGTAAACAAATCCTATAGTAACAATCCACCGAGTAATTTAAACAATAACAAATATTAAACTAATGTAAAAGCATACTGTGTAAACAGACCTATGAAATAAGACAAGAAATAAGCCACGTAAAGAACAGAAAGAAGGGGTAGCGTAATAGAAAGGATTCGACTTGTAAAAACTTCCTCCAGTGTTTCAGGATCGGTTTCATGAGATAAACCAAATCTAATCTATAGATAAGTTAATCATTAAATTCTTGTAGCATATACGCTGTAGTAATTGTTTCAGTAAATAGAAGGAAATGACCCTGCTCGTCCGTATGTCAATAAATTATAGGACAACCTCCTGAGACACCATGCAATTGGTCATATTGAATTCATCAATCTGCTATAATAAGTGGTTTATCTCACTATAACCCTGGTAGATCATAGTATAACCACAACCAGCTTTAAAACTTAAAAAAGTGTTATTCTTTCTAAACTCTTATAAATGGATCTGACGCCCAACATCAGTAACGGGTTTAGGACGTGAGAAATTTTAAAATGATCAGTTTGCTAGTCTAAAGTTCAATATGCTCACGTAAGTGATAAATATTAGCTCAATATAATTTGTTATGAATCATACTATCTCAGTCCTACGAATGAATGCTACTTGAGATGTGTAGTTTAACTACCACTCTGTGTGCCATTATTGAACTTATATACATTAACCATAGTGAAGTTGGTCAAAAAATATTTGCGCACAAGACACCCGGGAAGGTAACAGATTGTGCACTATGGAACACTAATATACTATAATAATAAACAATATTAAATATCAAAGTAAAAAAACAGCTTCTTTACACAGTAAAGCGGGAGCCGAAAGTAGGAGCTACCTAAGCTACTGTAAATGCTATAGTTAGATGAAGCAATGCAGACACATGACTATTCTTAGAGTGATACGTGCTCATACCACTAGAGTTTCTATCTACAATTTACAAAGCCCCTATGGTGTTTCCAGAATCTGGCGCCGCCCGGGCGGGAGATCAAATTGATAATTCTCCCATTAAATATGCATAAGTCTAAGTTACAAATTAAATAACATCTTAAGAGATGAAATCTTCACTTATTAACAAGAACCAATTTAAAGAACCTATAAGCTTTGGATAGTGTTGGCAAAATGAAGAAAAGTCTTCTAGATAAGCATGAGTTCCTAGTCCAGAAACCTTTAAAAATAAACCAGAAACTCTTCGAAAATTATAGTAGATATTGAAGCATTGACTAAATGAGGATCTCGAAAATGTAGTACTGCTTCACAGACACCTCTAATAGAACCGGAGATACATAGAGTATTATCTCCTACTATTCATCAGCATATATTAGCTTAGACTACTATGACAATGAATTTATGAAATAAATTTATCTGTGATTTCAATTAGGTAACCATTCACAAGAAGCTAGTCCTCAGAATAAACGAACTCTATAGACATCACACGTGCAATGTAAATATCATGCCCATACAATTCATTGTTGTCACTAACACACAAAGTGTCTATAACCAAGTACTTATAAGTTCAAAACTTTAAATCTAGGGCGGAAAACCTAAAGGGTTGGCGATCCCGTCCTGCAAAAAGTCATGGCGATCCCACGCCACCGGCGCGAGCCTAGCATTTAAGATATTTTCCAACTGTCAGTATCATGTGATTAGAATCTTAAAATTACTGTTCAATAGAGAGAGAATAACTTTGTAAATCTAAGTTCAAGATAACGCCATGAAAGATGGTAGACGCCCTCTAGAATAATACCTCCTATAGGCTTTAGTAGAAACATCTTTTACTCCACTACCTGAGTGTCTACCAAGTTTTGTTCAATAATAGCAAAAGCTCTGCTGGTAGTCAGCACATATGATTCATCACGAGCCCTCATGAATCGTAAGTCAAGGAGACTTTCCCTCAGTAAAAAAATGTATAACAACCACAAGTGAAAGACACTATAGAGTAAGCCACAAAAATCTCTAAAAGAGCTGCCAACTCAACTCATTCACAAGCAACTCAAAGAAGCAGTAGAAGCTAAGATCATAATTTAGCAACTAGAAATAACTTGTTTACAAGTAGCTCAATAAATAGCTTGTTGACCTGATAACTATCTGCTAAAGTCCTCGCTCACCACAACACACCAAAAACATAAGCTCCCTGCAGGACGTGTCGAACATATCTGGAGACCCCCTTGCCACCGGAGAGTACAATGGAGTCAGGTCATATGGCAACTGTCCCAGCATTATTTACAGGATCAAACTGCAGCGGCTGAGTCTAAAATTCGATATCGACCCTCATTGACTCTAGAGTCTGATGATTAGGGCTTTCCTAAGTGCCATAAATATGCAAAAACTAATTATAAACATCTATCTATTCCATAGGAATAAAAACAAGATCCAATAGGTACACTAATGAGATGTCTTTAAAAGATTATTCACTATAATGTCTGAATCACTAACGAAGTCGTCCTATAGAAGTACCAATAAATATATCTGGACTCAAAAGAGGTTCATATAGTTATATATTATTCATCATGATATAATAACTCGCTCCACGAATGCCATAGACCCAAGTATGAAAAAGCTACCGATTCACAACTCTACCAGAATTCACTCAAGAATAATTTAGCAAAAACAGTGGATAGAATACATAAATAGTTGACTTATGTAACAAGCGTCTATTATATGTAGAGTAGAAGTAGAACTGAAGATATGCGTTAGTATACAGAACTAATAAGTACACTTAATGTGAACATCTTACATACTTACTAAATAGACACCAAAAATGATCTAGAACTTAGAGAACGAAGTTAGCTCGAAAACATCTTGATGCGGTGCGCTTTGCTAACCAAGTCGCGTCTGCCAAATAAACCCAAGATACAAATATAGACCTGCCAGCGTCAGAGCCCAAAATTTTTGTCCCCAAGGCCGGCTTTTGATGTTGGTTTATGATTTTGAACAAACTGGAGCACCCATAAGATGTTTCATGCTAACAATCCCTACTATATTGATAATTAGGACATACAATAATGTCAGTACAAAGTGGGGGCAATATAACAGTAGAGTGAGCGACCTCAGGGCCATCATGGCCCTCTTGTTGCTATAATTGGCTATAACTTTGTTATTTTTTAAATGGATTGTCTTCATACTGGTACACACCTTCATTAAGTACAATGTTCTAAAGAAGATCAATCTCAGTTTTACATTGACTCATAATTGACCTTGTCCATCAAGGTCAAACTATTTTTATTTTACTGTTTATTGCTAAAATTATCTATAATTCTGTAAGTATTGAATGGATTCTCTTCATACTTGGGCTAAACATTGGGACAAGACATTACAGAAAATTTATTTGAACTTGACCTTTATTGGACCTTGGCACTAAAGGTCAAATATGTGAATTTAGCTACTATTGGCCATATCTTTGTTATTTATGGATTTGATATGTAATTATGCTAAATTACACTTAGGAAGCTATCCAGCTAGCGTACAGAACGTCGTAGGTTCTACTCAGGTGCCAGTTTGATCCTGTAAAAATAATGCTGGAAAGTTGCCATATGACCTATATTGTATTGTGAAGTTAAACCCAATTGAATATGTTGGGGGGGGGGGGGGTTCAGCAGAATTCAGGTCAAAGTTTTTAGTCTTAAACAAGTATTTGTTCAAAATTATGATCTTTATGGTGTGTGGCAGCTGTAAACATTGCACTGTACTTCACTTGTGTTGTTATATTTTTTCTGGTCCTTCACGATAATTAAATCAAGCACAATAAGTGCTGTAAATTGAGTACAACTCAACCTGGTACTAGGGGGCATCACGGATGTTGCACTTTTTCAGTATCCTCATGTACAGACTCAGTCAAACCAAATCTGCAATTTTCCTGTATTTCTGTTGCTTATAATGCTTCTGAGGGATCGACCTTTTTCCAGATTAGTATTTTTACTGTGTTAGTGAAAAGATTTTGCATATTATCAGGGAGAGATTGTTATGGGACTTGTATGGTTAAATGACCATTTAATTACTAACACTTTCAGAGCTAGGAAAATATTCTGTGAATGAATTATCAGTTGGTTTATTAATGTCTTTGTCCAATACTATTCTTGATGCATTTATATGTCCAATTTATTATCAATTAAGAAATAAATTACTTGAGTGTTGTTTTTTTTAAAGTTTTTTAGGCTTTGGTTCAAGTTTAAACCCTGGCCAGCCTGCATTTCCATTCCAGTCTAGTTAAGTATTGTAATATCTGGGTCACTTTAATTAATGATATAATGCTAATTGCTTTAGTCAGTGATATCAATGTTTTTTTTGTTGTTTTCAGCGGCCCAAAGAGATACGACTTTGTAGAAGGGATATGGTTGTATAATCATGATGGCAGTAAACTTCATGATCTACTAAATGAGGAAATCTCACAAGCTATAAACCATCATATAGACTTCACAATCTGCTCTTATGGAAAAAGATAGATGCCTTATTTCTTACCAGTTTAATTGGTGTCATATTTTTAATAAATTGTTCATTTTCATTTGACATGCTGTACATGTTTCCTGTTTTAAGCTTATATTTGAATATTTTGTATGAAAGTACAAGATTGCCAAAGGTTTATTTAATATTTGACAAGTAGAATTGCATAGTGGACGTCTACAAAAATTATATAAATTGTCAAAATCGGTTCCAGCACATTGGGACCTAGACTAACAAAATAATCATGTTTTTAAAATTTTCACCACACCGGCACTAAATTGCCCAGAGCATAGAGATTTGATAACACCTTAAAGTGCGTAGGTGGTTAATATTGGTCTGACCCCAGGGTCAGTTAGTGAATATAAACTTACAATTGAGTTGAATTGTGAAAAAATTGCATTGCTCAGAGTTTATATATTATGACATCTGAGGGTTCATTCTCCTATATAATACCATTAGTACACAATTTCTACAACAGCAATTTAGACATCATTTACATTATATATTTTTGTATACATGAAACGTCCAACCTGGGAGTAAGTATTCATTGAACCTTTTTATTAAACACACTTTCTGTCTTTGCTTGGAATGGATGTATTTGGCTAATTTCATGTCTGTTTACAACAGTTAGCTTTCATTTTAATCTTTGTATTGTTTAACCTCGGTGATAGTTTAACATTAGGATTTGTATTATGATGCGGATTGTTTAACCTCGGTGATAGTTTAACATTAGGATTTGTATTATGATGCGGATTGTTTTACGGGCTCTCTTATTTTAACTGCACATGTGTATCGGCTCTGACCTGGCTCCCTAACATGCACTGTACATGTTTATCGACTCATCTACGGCTCCTTTACATATACTGTCCATGTGCTCCGGCTTGGACACAGTGACTGCACAGTGACGATATAGGCTCGTAACGCCTAAAAACAGTACTAAGCAAACTGAACAGTTGTTTTCTAGATTTTCTTTCGGATGTATGCATTTTCATATTTTCTTAAAAAATTATCTTTAAATGCTAAATATCTAAATTTGAGGTATTACATTTAAACAATTTATATCTTATTTAGATACTTTAATTCTTCAAGTAATTTTTTTGTCCAGTTTTTTTGGGACATTTTTTCCAAAAATATAACTTTTTATCAATTGTAGGACTCTGTTTTTATTTCAAGGTCTTATAGTCTGTGTTGTAGACAATCTTAAATTTTATTGATACATCGTTGCACCTTGACATTCTTAATGTGTTTGTTATTTAAATAAATTATTTTAACTGTTTATTGATGGTGTAATCATTTGTGCTAAACTACATCTGTCCAGTCGGTGACATTTATTTTTAGTCACCGCAATTCATCAACAATAAAAAGACTTTGTCTGAATTTCATCAGTCTACATCTCTAGAGATTATAAACAACACAGAGAACAACATAAAATATCAGCCATAGCTTCCGCTACCATATCTACAATTTTAGATAGATTTCCCCGCCCACTTCGACGCTAGAACAATAACCCCTCAAATTTCTTAAATATTATAAGTCAACAAACCAATTAGACAAATAACAACAAGCAACACCCTGTGCTTGCATCACAGTATACATGTCTGGCATATACGCATTTCCTGTAAGACCTCTACAATTTTGTATGTGGGGTCAAAAAATGACCCCAACCTCTGGTCCCATGTTCACTTAGCTTTAAGAATCAAGATCAAATGTCAAGATTGAAATCTTAAAGATTTTCCATTGCTGGTCCTCGTAGATCTTCTTCTCAATATTAAGTGGACTTGAAAAAGCATGCTTATGAAATATTAGAAAAAGAAATAATGATCGATAACAGTTGATCCAAACAGTGATCTTAATTCTTAAACCTAAAATTGAAGCTTATAATGATAATATTTTTCTGGTATTTCTGTTCCTAAATTTTATCCAAAAATAGGGTTGTTTTTTGTGAACCAGCAATTTGTACCTTGATTTTTTTCAAAGAAATGTTACAGTTATGTTGGTGTTCCAGTTGCCATCCCCTATGACTTTTTAAGGTCTTTGTGTATTGTCTTCAACAATCCTTGGGACAAGACCTTCAAGTAGACCAAGGTCAAAAGTCTAATTTCTGCTTGATTTTTGCTATTAGTGGCTATAACTTTGTTATTTGTAATGGATTGTCTTCAAACTTGAACAAAATAATCTTTTAGGATAGATCTTTAAGTTTATCAGACAGACCTTGACCTTCACTCATAAATGACTTTGACCTTGAAGGTCAAACTTGAAATTTTTGGGGGTTTTTTGTTGTTTTTTTTAGCTCACCTGAGCATATGCTCAGGGTGAGCTATTAGGATCACTCTTCGTCTGTCGTCCGTCGTACGTTGTCCGTTGTCCGTTCACACTTTTAAAACGACATCTCCTCTGAAACCATAAGGCAGATCATAATGAAACTTCACAGGGATGTTCCTTGTGTGAAGCTTTAACAAAGTTGTTCAAAGAATTCCATTCCATGCAGAACTCTGGTTGCCATGGCAACCAAAAGAAAAAACTTTAAATATCTTCTTCTAAAAATCCAAAAGAGCTATAGCTTAGATATTTGGCATGAAACATCTTCTAGTGATTGTCTACCAAGTTTGTTCAAATAAAAGCCCTGAGAACAAAATTGGCCCCGCCCCAAGGGGTCTTTGATTTTCCCTATATGCATAATAGTAAAAACTTAAAAAATCTTCTTTTAAATAACCCAAAGAGCTAGAGCTAAGATATTTAGCATGAAACATGTTCTAATGGATGTCTACCAAGTTTGTTCAAATAAAAGCCCTGGGGTCAAAATTGGCCCCGCCCCAGCGGGTCTTTGATTTTTCCTATTTGCATATAGTAAAAACTTAAAAAATCTTCTTTTAAATAACCCAAAGAACTAGAGCTAAGATATTTAGCATGAAACATCTTCTAATGGGTGTCTACCAAGTTTGTTCAAATAAAAGCCCTGGGGTCAAAATTGGCCCCGCCCCAGGGGGTTATTGATTTTCCTTATATGCATATAGTAAAAACTTAAAAATCTTCTTTTAAAGAACCCAAAGAGCTAGAGCTAAGATATTTAGCATGAAACATGTTCTAATGGATGTCTACCAAGTTTGTTCAAATAAAAGCCCTTGGGTCAAAATTGGCCCCGCCCCGGGGGTCATTGATTTTCCTTTTGTGTGTATATAGCAAAAACTTAAAAAATCTTCTTTGAAAAAAAAAACAAATAGCTAGAGATTAGATACTAAGCATGAAACATCTTCTTGTGAGTGTCTACAAAGTTTGTTCAAATAAAAGCCTGGGGTCAAAATTGGCCCCACCCCGGGGGTTATTTATTTTCCTTATAATTATGTGTATAGCAAAAACTTAAAAAATCTTCTTTGAAAAAACTCAAATAGCTAGAGTTTAGATATTAAGCATGAAGCATCTTCTAGTGAGTGTCTACAAAGTTTGTTCAAATAAAAGCCCTGGGGTCAAAATTGGCCCCGCTCTGGGGGACATTGATTTTCTTTATATGTGTATAGCAAAGACTTAAAAATCTTCTTTGAAAAAACCCGAATAGCTAGAGTTTAGATATTAAGCATGAAACATTTTCTAGTAAGTGTCTACAAAGATTGTTCAAATAAAAGCCCTGGGGTCAAAACTGGCCCTGCCCCAGGGGTGTCATTGTTTTTAACTATATGTTTAAAGAAAAAACTTTAAAAATCTTCTTTTGAAAAACCCAACGAGCTAGACCTTAGATGTTTAGCATGAAACATCTTCTTATGGTTGTCTACCAAGATTGTTCAAATAAAAGCCCTGGGGTTTAAACTGGCTCTGCTCCAGGGGCCTATATACAGGTAAGCGACTTCAGGGCCCTCTTGTTTGGTGTAACTAGCTATAACTTTGAACATTATTAATGAATGGATTGACTTTATATTATTATAGATCATTCTTTAGGATAAGACTTCATGTATATCAAACTCAAATTGACATTGGTTTTTTATGACCTTGACCTTGAAGGTTAGATTATTAAATTTTCACTGATTTTTGCTATAATTGACTGTAACTTGGTAACTAATAAATGGAATATCTTCATACTTTGGCAAAACAACATTTTGGAGAATATTTTCTAAATGGTTGACTGATCTTGACCTTGAGCTGAAAATGACCTTGACCGTCAAGGTCAAATTATTGAAATTTGGTTAAATTATCATGATTTTGTTGTTAATGTACTGGCTTGATTTGAACTTGGGCAAAACAACACCTGCTAGAAAAATTTAGATGTGACTTTCACCTAAAATTGACCTTGACTGTCAAGGTCAAATTAATGAAATTCTCTTGTTTTTTTTCTGTAACTGACAACTTTGTTATTTATAAATGGATTAACTTTATATTAAGGCACTTAATAGTTTAGGTCATGATTTTAATGTGTATCAAACTAAAATTTACCTTGACTCATGTATGACCATGATATTGAATGTCATTTTTTTTTAATTCTCACTAAAAATCGCTATAATTGGCTGAAATTTTGTAATTGTTTTCATACTTGGATACAACAACCTTTTGGAAAATATATGTTAAATGGTTGAAATGACATTGATCTTGAGGTTTAAATGACCTTTAATGTCAAGGTCAAAGTACTGACTTTTGGTTAAGTTGACATAATTTTGTTATTTATGTACGTGTTGTGGTGATGAAAAAAATATGTTAATAAGTGTTTCTAAAAATAGAAGCAGGCCTCTATCCCAGTTGGCACCATTGTTGTGGTGTTGAAAATGAAAAGCCTTAAGTTTTCTATAAATAGAATTTAGTTACTTATTACCTAATATTTACTTTTTATGTTCTTAGTTTGCTCAGGAGTACTCTTTAATGGGAAAAATTTAATCGTCAGGATGACACCACCCTTTGAATGCAAAGGGAAATAAAACACAAATGTTGAATAAATTTAAATCAACCAAATTTTTGATGAACTAAGTTTTTATTTACACTTAACTAAAAGTTACATAAAACTAAATAATTTGACAATAAGTATTGTAATATAAACTGTTAATATTTAAACCAAAAATGTGATTATCAGAATTTACTAGCAAAGTAAAAGATTTAAATCAGTTGAAAATTGTTAAAAATGTAATAACTGAAAATATGAAAAATAACCTTAATGATTCTGTGCTGTTAAACTAATAAATCTAAATAGTAGCAAGCCCTGTTTTAATATATGTCAACGAAAATAAAGATCTAATAATTCAAGATGGCTGCCACTTAAACAAAGAAAAAATATTAATTAATCTTAATTAATTCTGTTAAAAGAACTTAGAAAAATTACTTACAAATTTATCAAAGATTTTTAGGTTTACTTATATGCCAAAGTGCCTAAAATAAATTAAATAATTAATTAATTAACCTTAGAGAGCTTTTAGAGATGTTACTTTTCCAAAAATTAGCAGCAGAATGACAAAATTGTCTGAGATGCTTGTATAAATGGACTTCTGAATCCCAGAGGGAGCTAGCATCTACCTACAGGTGGCACTGTATGTAACAACTTATCTGATTGGTCAAATTACAGCCAACCAGAATTTACTTCACAAATGCTCTAGGCTTATCAGTACTTTACATAACTATTCTAAAAATAGATTATGATTCATGGAAAATTTTGCAACAGTATCAATTGACCATGATTATAAAAATAATAAAGTAATAAACTTTTACAAAAATATTCTAAACAATAAAACTAGAAACTAATATCAACTAAACATATTTACAAACATATATAAATCATGCAAATGCTAAATTAACAATATGTATCTCACTAAGTTTAAAGGCCAGTGTAAATTAAAGTAGAACCATTCTCTATATGTTGTATATAAAGAGTCTTAGGTCCTAAGTGTCTGTTAAAGAGTGTATCAATAAGTTCTACTATTAATCAACTATAATCAACATTAAACTAATGAATGACCAGAATGAAATGTCTATAAAACAATACATATTCAATATGATTAAACTTAAACCTAAGTTAAAGTTTAAACCCTTAATATTTCTTGAAAAGTAATTATATGTTATACTTCTTGAGTAGTATTATTAAACAACATTATGTGATGATTATGTAACCTGTTGTAGTTGGAACCCAACTTTACAACATACGGATTTATTCATTTGTGAACAAAACAACACTTGTGACCAAACTAGCATGTGGAATAATTAAGATATGACCCTTACCTTTAAATGACATTGACCTTCAAATGATTTTTATATTTTCTAAACTTTGTCATTTATTTATGGAAAGGATTAATACTTGGGCAAAACAAGTGTGACTAGATTGACCTATTAAAATTGAAGAAAAAAAGAAAAGCTTTTTTTTCTTTAATTTCTTTTAAATGATTTGTTTAAACCGTAAATTTATTTGTTTGCTTTTTTTAAAGAAAAAAAAAGTCGAGCGTTGCCCCCACCCGGTGGTGACTCTTGTTAAAAGGTTTGTTTAAACCTTTTAATATTTGTTTGCTTTTAGAAAAAGGAAAAAAAGTCGAGCGTTGCCCCCGCCCGATAGTGGCTCGTGTTCCATTTGTTTATGTGCCGTTTAAGACAGATTACACCAAACATACATGGTTCTTTTAGGCCAGTTACATAGACGGTCGGTCCCCAATCGGTCATTTAATTTTAAATTTACTCGCTGTTATGATCGGTTGTCAAGGCTGATTTTATTTCTGGTTTTCTGTGTGAACGGCCATCGGTGACAGAAAGCAAACTCAAACGGGGTTGGGTCGGTGATAAAAATGCTGAAATACTGTCGGTTTTTATTGTTTGTAAATCGGAGCTAATTCGGGCGTAACGCTGATAAATCGGTGTTTGATAGCTAGTCATCAGTGGTTAAACACTTTCCGTCAGATATGGCCGGTGATTCATATTTGGTTATCTTTGTCCGATCGGCGATATCGGTGATTAAGAGCTTGCATATCTCGTGATATAGGTTGCTGTCGGTTATTTGTAAAATATTTTCACCGATCGAGAATTTTAAACATGTATAAAAATCCCAATCGGTAATTTTTCACCGATAAAACATATCTTTCCCCAATAGCAGTTGAAAACAGGTGACCAATAGGTGATATCGGTGTTAAATACGTTGTCATCGGTTTACTCTATAATTTAGCTAAAAAAACTACCGATCAATCACCGATGGCTCTGTGTAACTGGGATGTTAGGATGTGTGAATAACATGGCGTGTGCATGCTAGCGAAGAACCTACCACTGGTGTGTTAGGGTAAGAATAGAGAGGATTTAGATAAGTAATGACGCATCTCTATATAAACTTTTATTTTATTCCAGGCTGCAAAATAGTTCACATAAACAATTCAAAATTGCGACTTATCAAGATTTCTTGTAACCTAAAGTGATGCTTATGATTTTTGCTCCAATTTCTCGTAAAATAATACAATATATTTTATTTTAAATAATGTACTAGCTGCTATCCCTATGTAACTAAATTTAAAAGAAAGGTGTATCACATTGATTTTAAGGAGCTAAGTGAGAAAATTTATATAAGATACTCAAAATTTAGATATATTTGTAATAATGATGAGTAAGCAATACTAGTTTGCATGTATTCTAAATAAAATGAATATAATCAGTTTCAAATTTCAATAAAAAAACATATAACAAAAGTTTGAAAGAACATAATTTCTATTGTAAATTTCATGATAAGAAATGAATTGCACATTCTCAAGATAAAAAGTAACAAAAATGGAACAGAGATCATGATTAAGATATCGACCCACTTAAAACTGATAATACGATGTTTCGGTTAAAATGTTGTTATATTATTACAAGAATATCGAACAACACAAAAGACAAACTGGCGGATAGTCCATTCCACAAAATATAAACACAATAAAAATCCATCGAAAGTTATTCCGTGGAAACCAATCATTGCACAAAAAATGCTTAAATATGGGCATAGCTCTATCATTAGTGAATTGATTGCAACGAAAATCGAGCTTAACAAGTGTTTTCATATAATATAGCTATATGTATGACAGGGTGAACAAAATTGCAGCCTGACCGGAACTCGAACCCGGATCCCTCAGAATACCGTCTGAACTATGTGGCCGCTTACGCATCTTCTCCTGTGTCATGCGCCGCTATATATTGAAGTTCGTTCTCGAATTTCACATGGTTACAAAACAATGTGAATTAAAGTCTGAGCTGTATGCAGTCATGGTTCCCCGTTCCCCAAATGTCACATGGAGAGACAAAT